CAAAAATAATATTCATTTCAGCAATTATAGCAGAGAAATTTACATTGCTTTTACGCAAAAACCGTAAGTCGGGGGACACCAAGCGATCGACTAAGGAGTTAGTAAGTTTTATAAAAACAATTTTTGTCATAGAGGAAGGTGGTGATATACTATAATTTTCTTTAAAACTATCTAGTTCAAATGAATAACTTGACCACCATAATATATATTTCAAAATTTAACATCATATGTTATGTTCATATAAAGTTGGTTTTCTTAAAATGAACTCGAGAATTGCCACCTTACCATAAAGCATTGTATGTACTGGCATTGTTGGGTATTGAATTATGGAACTAGGGGTTTGTCACGAAGATGAAATGGTATCCTTACAACTGGTTTTGCTTTTTAGTATCCGCAAAGTAAAGGCCCTGGATGAAACTTTTTTATTGAAATTATCTGCATTGCTTGAAATTTCTATGAGAAATACATAATGAAACATTTTTAGATAATTGCAATATAAACTGATGTTCTCGGCAATATGAGTTCTCTTCATAAAATCACCGTCGCGTCGTTCGCCATAATTTGAAATTTCCTTTTTCGATTTCCTAACTCATCCAGAGGATATGAATTGAATGATATTTTTCTAGGTTGGAGAATTGGGTAAAATAACATATATATGAATAAGGGAAATTGTCAAGAGCACCGTCCCACGATTAGGAAGCTGAACTGGAGGTATAAGGCTTGTTCTGGTAACGAATCTATGACGGTTGTGGACGGTTTAGAACAGTTAACCAAGAAGGAACTGACGTTGTTTTGACAATTTATTTGGTCGATTGGAAATTTCTGTTGCTTATCGTTTAAAAATCACTGCTAGAAGATGCCTAATTTACCTCCATGAATGAATAAAGCAAAATTATTTCCTCTTCTTTTCATGCAATGCATAACGACTACATCTCCCAATCACACATTGCTACTACTTTTCAGCAGGTAACAATAGGGCATTTTAAAAAAAAAATTTGAACCATCATTATACTGCTACAAGGTATATATTAGCATTGATTAACGTATTATACCTGGAGACAGCCAACCTAATGCTATATTCCAGCGTCCAAAAAATGATCTATGAAAATGTGTCAAAGCTACTTTATATTTTTTGAAAATGTTTATAGTTCCCACGTCTTAGAAACAACTTCTGGTACAAGTTTCCGTCTAGTGCTATGGCATCAAAAATACGTATGTTTCGTCAGAACCATTAGCGCTCTATTTGGTCTTTTTGACAAACAAAAATTCCCTCAGATTGCAGCAATGAGCGTGTCCGTACCTACATGGTAGTCTCACTTCTTTGAAGCTCTAATCTGAAAATTTTATCAGCAATGTTTCATAACTGATTATAATAGCTCTTGATACATATTTATATACCTACTATATATTACCTCACGAAATCAAGTAACCTCATTCAATTATGCTCCAAGCATAATGCTCGTATACAAATACATAGATACCATCGCGCCCATGTTTCTTAAAAAAAAGTTCTTGCTCTTTCGTGGCAAATTTGGCCCTGCTCACCTATTTCGCGAGTAGAATCAGTACGATCATATTCTACGTACGCTATGACGTTTATTCCGTCTTCTTCGCTATAAGACCATTACCATTAACAGGATCGTTATGTTCATTTTTCAAATATTCTAAGAGCCAAGGATAATAGGCGTGTGATGGAGCTTGACGATGTGGAAACCGCTCCTGATATAATCTTTTTTTTTGGCATTCACCATAAGTAAGGAGCATGCCGATTTGATGATCTCTTAAATAATTCAGTTAACTATTTAATTGATTTCAAAAGAAATAAAGAAATAAAATAAAAAATATTACACGATGCTGACGCGTGGAAACGAGACTGATAGTTGACAGTAATTTCAAAGGCTTCCGCGTTCATTTGTTTCCAAAGCATCCCCAGATCTCCGTGCAAACCAGTGAAATATTCGTCCCTGTTGATTATTACAATTCTGGCTTTTTAAAATAAAGAAAAGAAAACAAATAAGTATAATAAAAAATGAAAATTATAGATATTTTCTGTCACGTGACTAGGTAAATACCTATTAACTGTGCTTAGGTAATAACAAATACTAATTTGCTAATTAGTTATAATACATGATATAGCTCTCCAAAATTTTCCAGCTTTTTTTCTCCAAGACAAGTTCCTTATAGTGAATTTTTTTTTAGAGATGATCCGACATACTTTATTAGTGGTATTTAGAATTCTGAGAAAATTTCAAATACATTTTGACATTTTAAGCAAAAACTAAAATGGGCGCAAATTTATGTTATTTTTTGGTTTTGCCAACTCAATGCAGAAGTTGCATTTTGCCTCTTAAATTAGCGGAAAGTTTGGCAAAAAATCCATAGGTACTGTCAAACCGCCGCCATATTGAATTATGCGTAAATGTCATTTACGCCGTCATTTTCCAAAAGAATGACAACTTGTGATACATGATTGAAAAGGGAATTTTAATCTTTATGAAAATATGTAAAAATATATATACAGGTTCTTATTTAAAATTCTTGCTTCATACTCACTTCCGGTCAAACCAGAAGCGATATTCAGTTGGTTTCAATGGATAATCTGAGATTTTATAAGTCATATTTTCACACAAAATTTCAAGGTACTTCTTTAAACAGCAATTGAATAGAGCTTTGTAAAACGTATTTCGTTGACACCCAGTATATTGCTGCAGTACTAAACTGATAAAAAATCGATCCGGGTGTTACAAATAACAATTTCACAAAATAATTTCGTTAAAAGTTATGTCGTTTGTAGTACAGTTTAAATATACAAAATTACAGATAAAGTAAATTATTTATCATCCATTTATAATCCTCTCACGAATTTATTTTGAGCGTTATCAGAATCGTATTGCACCATTTTCACACCGCAGGCAGCTCGCAAACAAACGTTTATGTTTGAACGCATTCAAATTATTTTGTTTGCTGCAGTGGTTGAACGTATATTTGCAAAATAACCTATAGACAAGTGACGCGAAAAGTTTACACTATTTTGCACCTGATTTATGTCTTTCGCGACTAGCCATATTCACGCAGTAGCCAGCCAAGTGCATATTTGGCGCATAGCCGCGTATAGCATCAAAAACGGATTCAGCCTTTGCGTCAAGGAGGCTCACTTATGTCACAGTGGAGAATTCAGGAAGACACCTAAAGGGGTGAGCGCAACGGTGGTCGCGCTGATTGAAATTTGAAATGCTGAGGGGTCATCTGCGATTGAAATTTGAACAGAAGCGAGGTGATAGCTGCTGCACCAGAAGCCAAAAGAATGTTTGTAATCAATCTCGATTCGACCGGGAGGGATGATACCCCCCCCCCTAGATCCACCTTTGCAAAATATACGGTGCAAAGCGGCACTAAAGCGGCGTATACCGTGGCACACTAAGCTACAGCTTAGCTACGGTGTAGACTTGTCACTTATTATTCAAGATTGACCATGTTTACACCATAGATAGCCTTAGATACAGTGGAGCATATGACACTTGAGTTAGGGGGGCCCATAGCCCCTTTTCGACTTTTTCCATCGACATGGACATACATTTTTTATATTTTCACCTATATCAGTCAATACGTTGCTAAATTGCTACTGTACCCCAGAGCCAGACTACGTTAAGTCCATTTGTGTCAAAAATGAGTTTAATATGTTAAGCTTAATTTTCATTTGTTATACGCAGTGTCCATCTATCGGTACTAATAAGGAAGTTACGACTTTTTAACTCATGTCAAGTCGCATACAATAAAATGTAAGAAAAATATTCCAAATACAATTATCTCAAAACTACTCATTTGGGCTTAAACTAGTCTGGCTCTGAGGTTCAGTATTTAAACTTTAAAGACAGATTTGAAAGTTTTTGAGTTTAGCATCTATAAAAAAAATAAAATACAAAAATTGCGGCATAATATCTTCATAAATTTCCGGTTCCTTTGAAAGCTAATTATGATGCTAGAAAAAAGAACAAAACTACAAGTGTTTCTGGGCCCGGAGCTACGATTAATTTTTTGGACTTCAGTCGAGTCTCATTTTGAGCCTTAGCAAATACTTTTTCATCATGTAAATGTTAAAGCCAATCGTGCGTACCCCTCAATTCTGAAACATCCTAAACCTGGATGTGCATTAGCTACTGGCTAGCAATTTTTCAATTTAATAATATAGATCATACGTTATCACCATATTTTGGATTTCCCTCCTTATAAAAGCTATAGCTTCGTCCGAGGTCACGACAAAGTAATGGTTCACCTAAAAATTGGTAACATTTGATCAGGATTCTGTTCCGTTCAACGGCCCACCTCCTAATATTGTGCCCATTACACTAAATTTAAGTAAAAAATTTCATATAAACATGCGTCTAAAAAATAGTGGGTATTAAAATGTAAGCAAATAATGCTGATTGTAATTTTATAAGCGCTTGGATACCTACGGTCTGAAAATTTGCACAAGGCACGCTTACACCGTGGCTAAGCAATTGCCTATATACTATAGCATATAGCATATAATCGCTTGGCTATGCACTGTGCAAACATAACCCTTGTCTTGTTCACATCGTGGCTAGCCAAGGGGTTATAGCTTACTGGATACGGAGTAAACGGGCACAGAGCAGCAGTTACGTACAGAAGAATGTTTCATTTTCCTAAAATTGTGATTTCACATGAATACGTGTCCGCTGACATATGTATGCCAAGCTTCATTAAAATTGGACAATATTTGGATGTAGCACACAATGGTCATTATGTCAAACTAGCTATTTTTCTCAAAGTTTTCTTTTTCTTAGTACGGTGGTTAAGGGGTCAGAACCTACAGTTTATTTAAGCGAAATGCTACTTAGCATGGAGAAACCATGGATCCAAAAAATCTACGAACCTACCAATAGGCACATATATGAAGGTGTAGTGCTTCTGGTGCGCTAAGAGTTAGGAAATAAACTAAGCCCAGTTAGCTTCTCTTGATTAGAACCAATTAAGACAGAGTGTAATATAAGACGTCAAATTATTTGGTCATGTCACCAAAAACATGTTCAATGCCTGACAAGGGCTCCATGTAATTCAGTGAAAATGTAGGTAGACGTGCTAGTGATTGTTACAACTGCTCACCAACTGCGGTCACAGTAAAGAATTTAATGCAATGCAGCCCGGAGTGGTGAAAATCGCCGACGAAAATGATTTCAATATGCTGCGAACATTAATGGATGACCACACGGACTGGAGGTAACTCGGTATATTCATATATTGGTATTAATCACATTTACAATTCATTGGATAGAATAATTTTTAGCTTTCGTAACATCATCAACCCCTTGTAGATGTTGGGCCTGCTCGGACAAGTAATGTATAAGCTTTATTAAAACCACCTTAGCGCATATCGCAAATATTTCATTTCCTATTATAAAATGAAAGATTTGGATGTAACTTGACCGAAAATATTATTTTTTAAGGAAGCCTCTACGTGCTATTTTATGGGACTTCAAAGTTACCTATTAACAATCCTACTCGTATTCATAAGGGGCTCCAAAATAACGAGCAACTTGTTCCCTAAAGTTCCTCGAAAACAACCATACTTTTTTATATTTCTACAACCAATTGATGGAAATAAACTTCTTCGGTCAATTTTTGTAGGTCCGTTCGCACTCGTTACAAAATGAAGGTTATCAAGTTTTAAAATTGATCCTTGTTGAGAAAATTAAAAACTACAAGAATAGCCTGTTTCAGTGCAGTAAAATTATTACTACTCAAAACGATTAACTTTTAGATACAACTGATTTATAAGGGCCATATTTGTTTAAAAATTATTATACTGTTTAAATTAATCACGTAGAAAGACCGAGAGCATTTGGACACCAGTATCACAGTGAGCATTCGAGAAAGGCGTGTCAAAATCCATACCAAACCAACTTTAAAAACTTCCCCCAAAAAGGTTTCCGCGTGCCCTCCAAATTAATAGAGTAATTAACAATTGAGAAACATTGATTGTTGTAGAAAAAAAAGTGTTGCTCGAGTAAATTTAGACAGTTGGGAAAGGGGATCTCAAATACAATCAATATTATTATTTATGTGTCAGCATACTGAACTTATTAACTTGAAAATTGTGTTATTTCCCCCTTAATATCTACTACTATTTAATTCAAAACGGCGGAATTCTACAAGTGATCAAAAACTCTGACTCTTTTTATATGATTCGCTAGTGACAGCGAAATAATCTGTATTACACATTACACATATAATCATAAAATTTGGTTCTACTGAATAGACTGAAATACTACAAACAGACGGAGGCGCACATGAAAATCTGGACGAAACCAACAAACACGTGCAATTTCAGAATGGTGAAAGTACACGCATTTTTTCCAGGTGTTCGACCGAACACGGTTTTCGACGTCCTGCACGATCCCGCATACAGGAAGTTTTGGGACGAACATATGATAGACTCCAAGGATATAGGTACCGCATTATTCATTTCCCTCCAAGAGACTCATTCTGAAAAGTAAAACCGAAAACTCCTACGTTCCTACCGATTTACTGATAAGATTTTGGTTAAATAATAATCAATTATCTTGATGTAATTACAATCACCACTCGGACAGAGACCGGCATACTAGCAAATTGGAACTTAATCGAATACCGAGAATTTCAGAAAAAATATACAGACTGATTTTACAACTTAATTATATTTTTGGGAACGAATGAATAGGCACGAAAACCCTGCAAAAAACTGTAGCGGGATATTTTTTCATCAAAAGTCAAATTGAAAAATAAAATTTCTTTCACGCATAACCAAAAAAAAACACCATTGTTTTGGTGTATCTAGTCTACAGAAAATTGAAGATGATCAAAATACCTTCAACAAGAGATGTTCAATTTGCTGCAACATTGAAAATGCAATGGATTGAGAACATTGCAGCAGCGAGTAAAAGTAAATATTTTTGCGTTTATTGTAAATAATTTAAACACTTCCAGCATAGCAATTTTATTTTGAAGCTTTTGCATAAATAGATATAGTCATCAATACTTTGTCGCCTCTTTTTGTTCGAACATACTCATTTCTATTGTTGAATCACATAAACTATACTAGAATATATCAAATTACTATTATCATTTTAAGATTGCAAAGAATATTTGCGGTGCTGCTCATATGACATATTTATATCAGGAGTGAAAACTGCGCAGAAAATGAAATTCAGGTTTTGCGCATGTGGCATCTCTCTGTTGCTATCATCATGACTGTAAACAGCTCCAATTTTGACAGTTTGGGCGAGTTGCAAGCAGAAATATTGGATTATATTAATAATCTAAGAAGTAATACACCTAAAAGACATGGCAAAACGTGAGTGAAGTGCAGATACAGATTGCGGCAGTTTATGTTGACATGTTTCAATACCCAAACGCTCTGCGCCATGATCTACGTCCACTAGATTTCCGAGAGCCACGACATCCTTGGCGACAAGATAGGCTTCATACGGATACATACTATATATCCCTTATCAAGCGCGGATCCAGGGGTGGGTTATGGGGTCATGACCTCCCCCTGGGCGAATCTTGTTTGACCACTAATATTTATGACTTCGAATCAACCAAAGATGTCAATGCTGTGGTAATTTCTCTATACAGAAGTCCTGATGCTGATATTAAAATTTTCTTAGAAAAGCTAGATGAGCTTTTAGATATTTTAAATCGTAAATATAAAAAATGTAATATTGTTCTTTTTGGTGATTTTAATATTAATTTTAATAAGCGTTCATCTGACTTGAGTGGTCTATTGGACATACTAAATTCATATTCCCTAAAGCCAGTCATTAAACAACCTACGCTAGGCTCTAATTGTATCGACAATATTTGTGTGGGAGTGGATGTAGAATGTGAAACTGCTGTGGTAAACAACAATATTAGTGATCACTTTGCTCAATTATTATCATTGAACTGCCAAAAAGAAGAGCAACCACCGAAAATGTCCTACCAATACCGAGACATACACAATAAAACTAATATCGACGTCTTTCTAGCTCTTCTAAGTCAAGAGTTATGGGATCATATTTACCATTCGACTTTAAATATAAATGAGAAATTTGATGCTTTCTTACAAACATATCAGTATTATATTGATATTGCATTTCCAGTAATACAAAAAACTATTAAAACATGTAAAGCCAGAAAACCATGGGTAACTAAAGGTATATTGATATCAAGAGATAAGCTGCACTACCTGTATGATCTGTCTAGGTCTGGAGACATATTTCTGAAGGAACATTATATGAAATATAAAAAAGTATATTCTAGAGTTTTAAGAGCAGCAAAACGTTTACACTATAACGCATTGATATTAAATTCTAATAATCAAACGAGGACCGCTTGGAATGCAATAAAACAGAATAAAAATGCATCTAGACATGAAGTTTGGTTAGGTGGAAGAGCGCGGATTGACAAGTAATTGTTGTCAATCAAGCGAACCTTGCCGTTTGCTCACTGCATCAGATTTATGTACTTTTTCTTTTTCTGTACTTACATGAGCAATAAAAGCAATTTATTATTATTATTATTATTAAGTAATTAAATTAAAAGTGAAAGATGAATTAATAACAGAACCAAAAGAGGTGGCCGATAAATTTATGCAACATTTTAGTAGTATTACAGACCTATACGTAGATCACAAAGTGGGAAATAGTAGTATTAATATAGATAGGAACATTCATTCATTTTATCGCAGACCTGCTGTAGCAAATGACATATCAGCTATTATAAAAAATCTCAAAGGTTCTAATTCTTTTGGCGCAGACAGAATTAGCACTAATATGTTAAAATTTTATCTGACATCGTTTGCCATCCTCTTGCTTTTTTAATTAACTGCTCCATCGAAGAAGGAATTTTTCGCGACAAGCTTAAGGTTGCATGTCAACCAAAAATGCCGTGCTTCGTTTCCTAGATGATTTATATCTCAAGATGGATAAAGGAGAAAAATGTATAGGTATATTTCTTGATTTAAGCAAAGCTTTTGACTTGGTTGACCATGCTATTCTGCTAAATAAAATGGTTAGATATGGAATCAGAGGGAAGCCATTTGACTGGTTCCACAGCTATCTGTCCGATAGAAAGCATCATTTCGAGGTACAAAATGCACAGTCCAGCCAACATTTCTACCATACTGGTGTTCCACAGGGTTCCATACTTGGTCCACTCTTATACATAATGTATGTCAGTGACTTTCCATCCGATTGCTCGGTAATGTATGCTAATGACACTTCTTTACTTGTTAATGGTAAAAACCTAGAATCTGTTGTAGGACTTGCCAATTGAGGCTTGACTGGTGCAGGTAAGTGGTTCAGCAATAATGGGCTCGTCTTAAATAATCAGAAATCTGTTTTCCTTAGATTTAACCTTTCCACCTTACCGATGGATCACACTTTATTAATAAAATCGTTTGGCAAATCAATAAAACAAGTGGATGCGACTAAATTTTTAGGGATATATATATGTATACTATATATCTCAAAATTGTAGATGGGATACGCATATCGAGAAAAGTAGCCAAAAGATCGCCCCACTCTGTTACTGTCTGTACCAGTTCAGTTTTGTTGTGGAGAGGTGGATATTACTGATATTTTACCATGCACATATCCATTCAGTCCTAATTTATGGAATAGAAGCCTGGGGAGCATCGTCCCAGCTGCAATGACTTTTTGTGTTGCAAAAAAGGCTGTTCGAGTAATAGCTAAAATTGGAAGGCTCACTAGCTGCAAGGATTCATTTAGAACATTAAAGATTTTGACCTTACCATCTGTATATATACTCAATATACTTATCCTTGCTAAAACACAATTGAGCAAGTTCAATTCTATAAGCACTGGTGCTTACTTTACAAGAAACAGTCAAGTATTGGAGGTGCCGTCGCATAGATTGTCGAGAACGGAGGACAGCCCTAGATACATGGCTATTAAGTTTTTCAACAGACTCCCCAACAATTTGAAATCACAACCACTGAACACTTTTAAAAGAACAGTCAAACAGTTTTTACTGGAGAAAGCTTTTTACTCTATTGAGGAATTTTTAATGTGTGAATGTCTTGTTTGATTTTGATCATTGTTGTTTCAACGTCAATGGTTTGTCCTTTATTTCGCTTTTTTATATATATACATATATGTTTTATATTTATAAATTATATCTATACGCTAATTTGATTTATCTGTATTCATATTTGGAATATGCCATATGTGGTACGAATATGTGTGCGTCCACACTAACATGATTTGTTATTAGATTTTGTAGTGCTCTGACTGACTTATCCTATATCACATCTGTGATCATACAGGACAAATAAATTATTATTATTATTATTATTTGATAATTTTAATAAGACTTTTGAAAATATGTAATGGACACAAACGAGTAAAAAATCACCAAATTTGGTGAAAAATCACCTCATCTGGCATCCCTGAACAATTTTTCAGCGCACGATGGAGTGGAAAGAAGAGGGTTCTATAAGTCTGGTTGCCTGTACGTTCAGTTTGAGGCAAATATAAATAAAATAGTGATACTGTGTGTTTCGGCTACGTACTACTGCTTGTCCGTTAGAGCATTTTTGGAAACAGAGCCACATGGGTTTTGTGATTAAGGTGGTTAATTGAAAGTTCAGACATTCATACAGGAATATAAGAAAAAAAAATTCTCGTGGGCCTTACACTGAAAAGCAATTACAACTGACGATGACGTCGTAATGTGTACGAAAGAGAAGCGCGTTAAGCGTGCGATTTGTATTCCGTGACCTGGTGCCTGGGTTGTTAGGCAGCGAGGTGCGTCTATCTCTTTCTAACATACATGTCGCACTCTTATTGCGCTTCTCTCAACGTACACATTATGGCGTCAGCCAAATTTGAATCTCACCGTATATGCTGCCTCATATTTTTGACACTTTTTATTTGTAACTTAGCATGATGGTATTGTCTTAGTTTAGTCTTGTTCAGGGTGCTTCTCAAACAAATAGGACAAGAATTTAATGAGTGACTCTTGAGACTATTCTGAAACTATTGAATTTGATCCTCTCGATTTGCGAAACACCTTTTAGTTCCGGAGAAACTGGCCCCTGAGGTGTCGTTGGAAATAGGTTTTTCTTAAGTAACTTTCACATATCGTCGCTTAACTCAAAAAGATCCATTGTTTTGCTCTTTTGAAAATTCTTCAGTTACCTACGCTGTATTCAAATTTAGGCGACGATATAATTCAACGAAGACTGTTAACTCGTTTAGTTCGCCAGAGACGGGCTAGCCATAAACGCAATATATTGCTAATTTTTTACTCGTTTGTATAATAATGAGTTTAAAATAATATTTTTTCAAATTGGAACTTGCCTCGATAGAAGAAGAAGAAATTTATTCATGTTTAATTTCGATAATATCAAGCGGTGGCGAGCCTCTATGACAGATTGCCTAAATGGACTTGCGCTCTTATATGTACATAAAAATGTTCATGTCGATACGGAAAAAGTCATGAATCGATTTGGAAGAAGACAAAATCTTCAGTTTTGTTATTTAACAATAAAAACTTGCCTTTTAAATTAGAATTATAGTCTAAATAACATTTAGGCTATACCGTATAAGTACACGGGTAGGGCCACCGCTGCCAGCTATCCCCCCCCCTGACACAAATGCTGGATCCGCCTTTGTCCCTTATGAAGTTTAACCTCCTATTTCAAGTCTTCGTGGCTGCTTGTGAACTACGCTGCGGTTGGGCCATGAAGGGGTAGAGAATGTAAGGGGTAGGAGTTACATTCATCGTGTCCGTGAGAGCCGTTTTATAATTAAGTTTCTAATAATACTACGCACTTGTTAAAGCAAAATAGTCACACGCTTCCTTTACATTTGTCATTGCAAAAAATGCATACTTAGATTAAATTGATAGTTGTTCAAATACCGCTAAGAAGACAAAATTATATTAGGTAACGGCCATATCACGCTGAAAACGCCGGCTCTCGTCCATACTATCACCAAAGTGATCGTTTTGTACATCTTATGCGTATTACTTGAAGAAGAAGAAAAACTTCAAATATCACCTAGTCAACAATTTGGGTTCCAAGCAGGCCACGGAACAATGGGGCAAATAACTAGAGTAATCATATCAAGGAAGGGTTCAATGATGGTATAAGTACAGTACTGGCTTTGTTAGATATAGAAAAAGCATTTGATAAAGTTTGGACAGACAAACTAATAGAAAAGTTAGCAGACTTCGGGTTTCCCTCATATCTAGTAAGTCTGATCGACTCATACTTGTCCTCAAGAAAGTGATCTATGAGAATTAATAACAATGATTATCGGAGTTTTAATATGAACGCAGGTGTTCCGCAAAGGTCTTCATTATCATCGGTACTTTTTATTATATTCATATCAGACCTACCAAAATTTGGAAAACCAATACTGCATTGTATGCCGATGATGCCTGTATTGATGCAGCAGCTCAATCGGAGGTAGCATGTAGACAGGCAGACATTCACATTAACAGAAACATCATTCTGTATTTCGAACAAAATAAAATAATTATAAATGCGGATAAAACAGAAGTTCTAAACTGGTCAGTTAATTTTGCACAACATAACAGCAAAATTTTTAGGCCCCTCACAGTCGAAAACGCAAAAATTCAGGAAAGTTAAACCGCTAGATACCTGGGAATTACGATAGATAAACGACTGACATTTCAAAACCACATCAAGACGATACGTATTAAAGCTAACGGTATGCCTTTATCCATCAATATGCCCAACTAGTAAACTGCATACGTCCATCAAGCTACTAATATACAGGGTGACTTCGAAGTTGAGTCATTTATTTTAACAGTGAGTAGATCTGATCAAAAGAAATGTTTTTTTCCTTTACCATTTTTCTGGTAAAATTAAAGTAACAAAGTTATAGCCCTTTGGAAGTTTGAGTACCGCCCTGTCTCAATAATAATATTATGTGCTCGTGTTTGGCAACAACTGATATAATCCGCCTTATCGGTTCATCGCATCGGGAACAAAAAAGCGAAAGAATTTGGAACGATGTTTTTACAATTATTTTATTCAGTTGTATACAGTCAGTGTCAGTCGGTAACGCGTGAGTGAATAGTGGTGTCTGTTGCGTGGCTCAAACGAAATCAAAAATGGCACATGTTTACGAAAATGCTGAACTTGTGGACATGATTCTTATTTACGCGGCATCACGGATTTATGCGGATCGGTTTCCCAATCGAGTGCAACCAACCCCTCGTGCCTTTGTTAATGTAGTACAAAGGGCTCGTGAATCAGGTGACTTAAGACCTCACAGGGGAGGGCATGCCGGTGCTCCAAGACCGCACGATCAAATACAGGTCCGCACTGAAATACTTGTCGGGAGGATACTTTATAAAACAAGGTAACATTTTTTTTTTATTTTTACACACATATTTTGGTTTATCTTCCTTCTACAATCATTATCTGAAAATTAATGACTCAACTTCAAAGTCACCCTGTATATAAACGGGTTATTAGGCCTGTGCTACTTTATGACTGTGATGTGTACAGTTTGGCATCAAATACAACTTAATGTTCTCCAAAGGATAGAACACAAGTGTTTGAGGATAATTATGAGTGCAGCCCGTAGAGACACCAATGATCAGATAAATCAAAATCTAAAACAGCTCGACATTAGATTCAAGACTATTTTACAAGTCATAAAAGGACACACCGACAAATTTTACTCCTACACTAGAGAAATGTCCACTGATTATTTACTAATATTCCACAATCACATCTGGATGGTAAAACCAGAAAGCATTGGCTAATTTATTGGTATATTCTTTCGGAATCTCTGTAAGTAATGTAAATATATACCATAATTTTATATGTAAATACCTCTTTGTTTCAAATTTTTAATTTTTTAATACTGGTTTTGATTATATTTCCTGTAAATACACTTTTCAATCACACCTCGGACAAAATCTATGAAAAACGATTTTTTTTCTAGTTGTTCTAGTTTCTTTTGCAAGTGTATTTTTTTATTTGAATGTGACATTAATATAAACACATGCATACGTATATTATAAAATTAGTTAGCTTAACACAAAGCATCTCTGTGGGTCAAATCGAGCATTAAGCCTAACCATCATAGTGAACATATAATAATTTAAGTGCATATTACTGTTAATAAATTTGGAAAATAAATATAAGTTGGTCTCGTCCAATCGCCGAAGCTAAGCGCGGTTAGTACCTGGATGGGTGACCGCTTTTGAACACCGCGTGTGTTGTTAACTTTTCGATTTTGTAGTCGCTGCGTGGTTTTTATTCCCTTATTCATTCAATTGCTTGGATATTTTTTTGATAATATAGTTCATATAGCGTTATGTTTAGAAACAAGCTAAACATAATCTAATTGATGACATAAATGCATGGGAAGTACATAATCTACCTACTTGATGCCATTTCTTACATATTTACGACGTTGTTTTTTTTATCGTTTGACCATTACAGGTTACTTGAATCCAACGAACGATGTCTCGTACTACGCTCTCTCTTGTCCACCTTTCATCACAAACCGAGACTTCGTCCTGCAGAGCTCCTGGTTGAACAAAAAAGACGAGAAGCTCATCTTGAACCACTCTGTATGTCACAAAGACTACAAGTTAAAGAAAGGTTACGTTAGAGCAATTTCTTACATAACAGGATACGTTGTTAGAAGAATCGATGGTGGCTCCTTCATAGGGTATGGATTTGCAGATATTGTTCATTTTATTTAAAAGCTGGAAAAGATCTACTCACTGCGTGAAATTTCCGCTTTCCGATGACCGATACGAATTAAGAGATTTACGCTTTAGAATAAAAAAGTAGGTGAAACACTCTAATGAAAGTCAAATTACAGGGTTGCGCTATCTGGTCAAAATACAAAGGGTGATCCCTTGTGTGATTCTAGGGTGAAAGAAATTTTATTACACGAAAAAGAATAATTCAGTTAAATTTAAATATCAAATTTGAAGACTCGTGTAGACCGGTCTTTAAGAAACATAGTAGCATTAGCATCGCTTTGCAACACAAAATTCCGACATCTGACATGAGCAATGATCAAGCTAGGAGCTGCAACTCCTTCAAATCAATTATGAACTATTTATATGGATATGCGAACAGAATCCCTTTTACATGGCCCACAAACTTCTCAATTTATTGCCCTTGTGTCTATAAGGTATCTCAATGGAAATCGATTCAAAAATAATGTGAAGAACTTTTTACTGGATGGTATCATTTCATTCTATACGAGAGTTTACAGATGTCTGTAATTGTTAATATTATCAACAATATTGGAATTTGCATACCCAAATCATCACGACATGTTTTTTATTATATATGGCCATCAGAGACGAAGTGATTCATACTGCAGGCTAATGGACTGATGGATAAAGTTTATTGATCCATTAAGAGAAATACAAATATTTTTTCAAGCAGAGAGGTCATTAGTGTCCACATTTCTTGACATTTCTACTTCAAAATTAAAGCTTCTGTCGAATTGCTTTACTATTCTCAACCATCTCCTGATCTGAAAATTGTAATATCCTTTTTGGAAGCTTTATGCTCGAATACCTAATGATCAGAGCTATTCAGAACAACACACAAAATGATAATCAAATTTAAAATGCTTCTCCTGTTCCTCCTCTCAAAAGTGGCGGCAAGTAAATTGACTCTACTTTTCACGCAATTCTGATATCGATTAGATTATGATCAGTTTGTTTCGGGCAGATCTTCAAGGTGCTAAATACAATGTCCATTATTTTTTTTCTAATTTTGGATATATAACGTGTCATGTACTTTAGACAGCTACAAAGCTACTATGCTGCTAAAACAAAAGTGGAACATATTAGCTCCTCTGTGAAATTTGATAACTTCATCTATAAAACAAAAAGAATGGAACTGTAATCTATTCAAAATAACCAAATGGAATACAAATTTGATGTATTTCTGTTTCAATGGCAAATGTATGAAAATGAAGTTGTGTGAACTGTCAAAAACTGTATCGATTTTCAAAACACATTAACCCTTGGCATAGTAGTAATATTGCGTGAAAATTTATTTCATCAAAATTCCAGCGATACTGCCGAACTATAGAGGATCCCTCTATAACCCGCAAGGACAGACCGATGGATAAGAATGACGGTTTTTCGTGATTTGTATGTTATGTAAAATCCAAAATGTACAATTTCATTTTTCAAATCGTTCGCAGCCGCACTACTTCCTCGTCAATTGACTTGAGACGTAAAAAGGAATGCAATAATTTTTATTTTTCCTCTCCTCTCTCAGTCGCTATCTTCTGTGACTCCCATTTTAACCATTGGTTAACATATTCTGCCTAAAGATTGCCAATTAAATAATGTTTTGCAATATCCAAAAAGAGATCTGAAAGATACTTGCACCATCTGCAAAACAGTAACAGTACACAGAAATGAATTTATAATTTTCTTTGAATTCAGTTAGTGTTTGGACCTGCTACTATTTCATATATGGCGCTAGGACCTTCAACCCCTTTTTGTCCTCTCTAATGCCTATTTCAGCTAGATATCTTCAGGCACTGATTAACGTATTCCATTAAAATTGTCATTAGAGACGTCAAAAATGGATTGGGGGATCTGAGCACCATCTATAAGATACTACCAGAACGAAACACATAAATCAGGATGTCGTCCCAGCGTCTGCGTCTGAAATTCTTAAGTACTGCTCCTCGGACTGCTCGAACAACTACGATCGGAACTGACATTGAAAATCGTTCCAATTCCCAGGTACATCTCGCAGTCAGACCCTGGAGGAAAACTTTCCCCATGGATAGTGAACCGCATAGCGCACATCGTCGCTCCGAAGATCGTGGAAAATGTGCGAAAAGCCGTCGACGGTTACGCAGAATGGAAGAAAGCCCAACCGAATCCGACATTCAAGCCATGGCTGAACCCTGAACATGCTCTACTTTCGCCCCAGGTCCGCATCACAGATTGTGTTCCATAATACGATGATGAAGTCGTCACCAGCTATGAACAGACTCACTGCTAATGAAATCTCTGTGCCCGTTTAATATTAAAGGCCTAACTAGCGATTGCGAATTTTATTATGTATTAGATTAGATGGGTGTCATTGTCACCCAAACGGTTTCTTTTTATCCATGTGAACACAGTACGCGAGTACACTCAGTACATTTGGCTAGTTGAATATCCTCTCCAGAGAAAAAATGCATACCGATGCAATGATAGGAAAATCAGCCAAAAATACGCAGTAAAACTAAGTACCTGTACCAAATAAGGCCACGTTAACGTTTGGATAACTTCATAAATATTTGCGATACGATCATGAATTAAAGGTATTATTATAGGTATGTTCAATAAATAAGCTGCATCGCAGAGCTCCGAGAACTTTTTTGTTCATATAAAAAATATATATTTTTTGAAAAGCTACGGTTGGCCTTTTTAGGAACCAATGCATCCAAATAAAGCCATGATCTGGTTTTTAATAAAGCCCTGCTCAAAATATAAAACAAGACTGTTGAATAAACGAAGTTATATTTCTAATTAACAACAATAAATAATTATTAAATCCAAATAGATTTCAAGTAAAAAAATCAACTTGTTTTTGCCTTCGCATGACAAACAAATCATATCTTATCGCCTCGACACAAGCCTACACATTCCCCATGGACATATGTTAAGCATACTACAAACAGACGCATGTTACGTATTTAGTCGTAATCGCATATGAAACAGTCCCAGATTTCGTCTTTATTCTTCTGGGAACCATTTAACATGGCCTTACTAGGCACATCTAACCTTAAATATACAATTAACAAAATTGCAAACATTCAAAACCTGGCAACAGCAAATAACTACCTGCATATGCCTTACTTACCTGTTTGAATCAACAAGAGATTTTGCAAAAAGAAGCCGGCAACATGTAAAAACGGAGACAAATTTAAAGCGGAAATTTTATAAGGCACATGTTGAAAACCGACGCTACCCTACTGCGCCATCTAGCGCCGCTCCGCAGCTGCTGAATTTATGGTTGCTAACTGCTTTGAATAAATTTGTAGAACTGCAGAAATCTTCAATTTTAAATGTTAATAGTTTTTGAAAAATCGACGCATGGCCTTATTAGGTGCTTGGCCTTATTTGGTACAGGTACCTTACTCAATTTTGTCGACAAACAATGCAATGTCAACATATGCGCTTGGCTCGTTCTAATATATTCGAATTCGTTGATCGCTATAGTAGATAGTGTAGACTCGCCATTGAACAAGCTAGTAATATAGCTTTCGTTCGTCCGACCACATAGACGGCCAAACGAAAACTATATTACTACAACATTTTAACATAGATTAAGCTCCTATCTTTGCATTGGTATATTGTAGGGAAGTATCTGAGCTTTATTAAGCTCTCGGCAACCTCGAATATAATAACAATAGCTATCTTATCCGGAGTTCTACTTGTTCAAATCTAAAACGATCAACATTTTTGAAAATTCTTGGTTTGACCACTTTTCACATGAGCGACATGACGACATTTATTATGGAGCACCTCTTAAAAGAAAGAAACAAAGATCCTAGTGGAAACATTTTTCAAAAAGGATAGAAATATTTAGATATTTTTTTATTCCAAGGACTTCCTGTCACGCCATTTTTCTATGGATTGTCTATCATACGGATATATTTATTATTCAGCTTTTGGACGAACCCTCACGAAATAGTTCATCTACCTTTTTATTACCTGTGTGCCATTGATTTACGGCTATCACGGATATATGAGCCAGGGAGCATTGCTATAGCCAAAAATCGATATGTCCCTACGATGAAGGCATGTCCGTGCTTCAAGGCTGAAAATTCATGTATCATGAAGCTTTTATGTCAATAAAATAGGCATCAGTGACCGTGACTTCAGCTGCAGAATCAACAAAAAGAGCAAGTCATGGCATTAAGAAAAACTGAAAGCTTCCATTTTTCATTGTCCCTACATTATCCAATCCAAAAAATAAACCATCATTATTACTGACTAGTGGTAACTTCGCCCTAGATTTCATTATTGACTCAAAATTGTTATAACTTTGCTATGGAAACTATTATAATTCGAAAAGCACACAAAAGATATTCGAATATATTCACGCCTACGACGTGAGAATTGAGAAAAGTGAAATCATCAATTCACATCATATTCTCTCAAAGTTTAAAACACTGGTCCTTTTTAAAGTGAACCGGTAAATTTCTTTTGGGTGGTTGCTAATGTTAAGTTACGGATCAATACTTTCAAGGCCAAACCCACAACCGATCATTTCTAAATTTAGGTACACTGATTGCATCGCCAAAAGATATAACCTACCCTTCGCTGTGTTATACAATATTAGGAAAACAGTCCAATACTAGTGCATGAGTATGTTCCCCACTACATACATGGTTTTGGCAAAGACCACTTGTCACTACCTTTGGATATTGCTACCATAAAGTCACCCGATACTCATTTGAAGTTTGCAACTTATAAGCATTTGCCCAATACTGGGTCTAGAAAAGCTCTTGGATTGCCAAAACTCTAAAAAAGCTTTTCCATACTATACGAAGTCCTATTCAAATAATAAGGCAAATACATATAAAACATTCACCATTTTTAGGAGAAGATTAAAAGCGGATCGACCTTTCAGTTCCAATCCATCAATTTACCCACTCTTCTACTAATTTTTCAGGGTGTGGTGCTTCAGGATATTTTATAGGTCTAAAGGATATTTAAAAAAACAATAAGGAAGCTCTCTATTTTTGAAACATGCAAATAATAGTTTAGGTAAATTGGATATTTTGAAATATTCAGAAGTTTCTTATTTGGCGAATCATCTGGCTGGAGCTTGTGACTAAGGCCCGTATCGTTAGTCGCCCCTACAACTGTAGGGCGCCTTTATGGCCTCCTTGATTGTCATAGTTTTCTACTTCTCCGTGTCAGAACTCTATTTTGAGGTTATGTCACAAACATCTATTTGCAACAAATTGTGCTTGCTTTTGAGTTATATCATGTTTTATCAGCCTGAAATTTCCTACAATTTAAAAAAACATATCTTCACAATAGGAGAGCGCTGACACTGACATGGGACAAGTGTAATCTAGAAATTTTCGAAGGAGAGAAAGGAGTATGACAATCAAGGAGGCCATAAAGGCGCCCTACAATTGTAGGGACGACTGACGATACGGGCCTTAGTGATGACGTAACACCAGCCGGCTTCGCCATAGGCCGATGTATCTGAGTCGGGCTCTTCGCGCTTTTTACAAATGTTCTGCTCTGTACTTATGATTTTCAGTGAAAATGGGTAAAAATTGGGCCAAACCTTAGTCTAACAAATATTGTATTACACCTAGGTGTTCGAATACAAGCAACCAGCTCCAGAAAGACTTTTTTCTTTGTGCCAAAACAGGCAAGAAGTAGGATTGCCTTTTTCGGAAATATTATACTGCCGTGGATCTGATTTTAATGTAATTATTTACGGATCACACTAAAACTACCAGCATCACATATATACATCCATCTCCCTCACACATACATATGCAATATGCCCCTGTGCGCGAACGTTTGTGTAAGTTAAGTCATACGTTCTGTAGTTTCATCGCGCCACCTCGAAAGCTTTCTCGCCAACGTAAGAGTATTTATAATCTATGCTTGTCAGTATCAGTATAACAACCCACTTGCCATGGGCCTACCATTCATTCAGTTTATCTTTTGTTGATCTTCGTAATATAAAACATAGCAATACTGAACATACAACTAACGGGCAATGTCAATAGTTCCTGCCAAAATTATTTAGTATTTTGAGAAAGTGAATTAGCAAGGAACAGTCCTTTATTAACCAATTAATGTGTGTAAGACCAGCTGCGTTTAAAATCGGTTTGCCCAATGTGCAATGTGCTATGGAGCTTCAGCTCCGCACATGGTTCAGTTAGTTGATTTGCTTACTTATTTCATGTGGCAAAAGAACTGTAGATATTTAGATAGTTAATATCGTATGAATGATCATAAAAATTATTATTAGTGTATATGCTTATTATGATGGAGAGAGAATCTAATTGGTGAAAACAAGAAGGGGGTAGATTTTTTTATTGCTTTTATTTTATGCTAATGTGGTTATTATCGAAATAGTCGTGTTGTGGCTGGAGGAAGAATACCCTTTGAACTTAGTCTGTGTCGGTGTGGAGATGCATATTTATGCGTGGTTCAGAAACCAAAAAGCCTGGCCAAAAGTCCAAAAAAGTGTATAATCGATTAGTGCCACGTTTTAAATCAATCTGCTATATTGAGATATGGCAAAATGGATTGTGAGGTCGAAGGTATACAGGATGTTTCAAATTCGACCCTAACCATTGGGATCCCGGAAACTGTAAGAGATGCAAAGTCGCTTAAATAGGTGCATGGTTGCGTATTTAGGTTGTCAACAAAATGCCGCTTAGTAAGTTTCGAAACTCAAAGTACTTCCGGAAAGAGACGGAAAAAACAGAATTTTCCCAAAATCGTTTTAATTTTTTCCCGACTTAAATTCCAAACTACATTGCACATTAACATTGCTACTTTTTCTTCTCTAAAAGATGGCATAATTAGAATTCCAATATGACGTTTCGACTTTTGCCCTCCAGCATCAACTTTATTTTTCTTATAGAAGTCATTTTGGATTTTTGAGCAAATCGATAGCGTTTTTAATTCTGATTTCAAAAATGTATAATAGGTCATAGATTGACATTGCCAACCCTTAGTTATTCCAAAACAACAGAATGTCCTAGGTAGGCCTTGGAATTATCAGATTTCATTTGTTTCGTGTATCAGACCAGACCTCAAATTAAACATAGCGACAGAGTTTGGAAGACTGAGAAGACGAGAAATAAATCGAGCAGTGAATAATGTACAGTGAAGAGCCGGGCTTTCTGCTATGATTTACCTCTGCTTATTTATGATTATCATTATTACCAACGATAAAATTGTCATGTTGTATTAAGGTTTCACCGTACCTTTTTATTTCCTTATAGTTTTCATCCAACTAAAAATTCATGGCGATCTAGGGAAATACAAAACTGAATTTAGGACTGAACAGTCCATTTAAGTGTACAAAATTCAATTATAGCGTCCATATGAAAAAACAAGGTTGGTGATGGAACAACAAAGAAAATGTCGAATTATAAATTTTACCATGTCATCTTGTAGAGGAGAATTAAGAACGGCAACAAGCAATTAATTTTGAAATCCCATCTCAAATAAGTCAGGACAAAATAAAAGTGATTTTGTGATAAATCTGGTATGGAAGACAGTTGACTATTTGATACTTTCAAGGCCCACCTAGAAAAGTCTGCTTTTTTTAAATAACTAATATTTGACAATATCAATGTACGACGTATCATACATTTTTGGAATCAGATTTAAAATCTCTATTCATGTGTGCAAATAGACAATATGGCGTCCATGAGAAAAAATAAGGTTGATGCTGGAGGATAAAAGACGACACGTTATATTGAAATTCTAATTATGCCATCTTGTAGAAGAGACAAAGTGGCAATGTTACAGTTTAAGTTATTTGGAAATCGTACTACAAATAAAGTCCGGGAAAAAATTAAAACGATTTTGGGAAAATTCGGTTCATTCCGTCTCTCTCCGGAAGTGCTTTGAATTTTGAAACTTTCCAAGCGGAATTTGGTGATCACCTAAAGTATGCCCCCGTTTAAGCGACTTCGTTCCGCGATCCCAAAGGTGAGGGTATAATTTAAAACACTCTGTATATATTTATTATGATATGGCATTGTATTAATTGCCAATCAACACATGACATTATACGCAATATGAAATTCATATTTTTTCCGTAACCCATAGTGAATTCAAAAAGAGTTCGTCCTATATCGAATAGCTTATTTGTCAGGCACCCAGTTAAGAAACATATTAATTTTAGCTGCAGTTGACTCCAACTTTGGCAGTTATTCGACATTAATCATACCTTGAAAACAACTGTAATTTTAGCGCAAAAGACAGATTTTTTGCAAAAATACATTTAATCCGTTATTAGCGACCTTGAGAGCATATAAGACTTAAATTTTGAGCGGGATCAAAATATTTTTTTCAAACACAGCCGCCATATTGGATCCGCTATTTCGATCTTTGAACAATCGATATCAAGTTCGTCATTAGCGACCCTGAAAGCAACTAAAACTTAAATTTGAGATCAATCAAAACATTTTTTGTAAACATGTCCGCCATATTAAATCCGCTACTTTGATCTTTGACAAATATGTCAACTTGGATAATGTGGGAAATGGATTTTTTTTTGGTACAATTTAGAGAATCTTTCTAATTTTGGCCATATTTAAGGACTTTGAACCAATCTGTCGTCGCTCTCGGTCGGTGGGCTCAATTATTATTATTAATGCGTGCTCAAGCATAACAGTTAGTTCAACCATTACATTAGTGGAATCAGTACGCAGAAAAACTTTCATTTCATTTATTGTATATCTATAATATTTATTGTATATCTATAATATCTCCGGCCCTGAAGCCGAACTTGTAAAATGTGACGTCACCGCCGACGCTAGTAGCTCTAGCAATATTTTAGACCTAATTCCATGACACTAGACTCCCGTTCCCGTTCCTCCATTTTCAAATACCTTATTTTGCTCTAGTATGAGCCATATCCAATACGAAGGAATAGTAGACGGATAGAACTTCCTTTATTTTCTTCGCCTTAGTTGCATGGGAAGTAGTTTCTCGGTCTGTCTGGCAAGCATTCAGCGGACTGGCAGCATCATCGTTCCCCAATCCACCATAATACGCCGTTTCGCGTTTCACTGGAAGGAAAATCCACCACCGCAACCGACCAACTACATTTAGCATTTACATATTCTTTCCGCCATTTGGCCGCCAAGCCATTAAAATGGTCGCATTATAGCGCAGAGTAAGAAGTAAGTTGCTCTCAGTGGTTTTTTATTCTCAGAAAATGTGTCGTGTAGCAGATTCGCGGGTTCGCGGCTCATTAGCGGTTCTCGTGGTATCGTTGAACGGAAATGGAGAATATAGTCCAGTGCCGACTGTATAAGTTTGAGCCTGAGCCGAACAAAAGCTTAAGGGATGAAATTCGGAATAAACGTGTCAAGGCGTTACTTGGATGGAAAAATTCACCGATGCTACATTTGGTATTACAAAGAGGATTGAGAATGAAAGACGCTTTTCTCTTCCAATGTATCTGAAATAATCAAGGATTTCGTATGTTTTGCAAAATAAACCAGTTCTATTGCAATTCAGGGACATGCAGGGTGTTGTTTGAAATTTGATGAGATGTGTCTCGAACTGCCATTGTCTGTAAGGTTAAATTGATGGAACATGCAACATGGCAAGTTTCCGAGGAGATATCTGCAAAAAATCCGAATGTAAATGATGGGTCTATGTATATTTTTAGTAGTTGGTGGTTAAGTTACAACCAGGTACTCATAAAGACAAATACAAAATACATCACCGTACTAAGTACTTTGACGTCAAGAATGGCAGTGTAAAGTTTCAATTGTCAATTGTCAATCGTATATCATCCAAAATAGCTACTTTTCAAAAAGTATTCATTTTCACAAAGTATTCAAGGTACTTCTGAAAATGATCATGTTGTTTTCTCCACAATTACCCTGAATGCTCGTATGTAAAATGGATAATTATTGAAGCAAGACGAATCCCTGAACGGTTTCTTAAGTCTCTTGTTTACTCGTAGTTAGTTGCTTGCTGCCTATTCTTTCAGTTTAATAGAATAATCAGATATTGACAAAAACTTCCTTAGTTTTACGTAAGAATGATGTGTAGCTGTACCTATTCACAGGAGTTCTACCATTTCTGTATGAGTCCATGATAAGACATTTCTCAGACGATTGAAGAAGGATAACAACCGAAATTTGCTAAACAAATAATAACAGGTCTTGCAGCTATCTTTCCTAGAAGCTGATTTATAACCTATGCGCAAAATTCAGATCCGATACCAACAATGTTGATATTGGGTCTCAATTAGGAGACTTCATTTTGGATTTAAAAATAAAGCAGATGGGTACTCAGATATTCCATACAGGTAGGTACTAATCTTTTCTGATATTTAGGCAGCAGCGGTGGCCACAGTAGTAGACTCTTCGGTCTCCTGATCAGTTGCCGTGCGCTGTGCGGGTTCGAGTCCCGTCCCAGGAGAAATTTTTCTCTTGGCTATGGATGTTGTGATTGTCCGTAGGTGGTAGATGGTCTCTGACTGTCGAACGCGGAGGTACCACCCGGCGGATCTCGTAGGCGGAGCCAGAATGTGTGCATGTTGCCTGCACACGTGTTCCCTCGCCAGAGTCCGTGTGGCGTTCCCCTCTTTCCCATGTATCCCCCTATAGCCCCACGGTACCCAATGGGTGCTTAGGCCTAAGGCCTTCGTGGTAGTTGGAGTATAAAAAAAACGAAATTTGCTAAACAAATAATAACAGGTATTGGAGCTATCTTTCCTTGAAGCTATAACACTGATTATAACCTATGCGCAAAATTCAGATCCGATACCAACAATGTTGATATTGGTCTCAATTAGGAGACTTCATTTTGGATTTAAAAATAAAGCAGATGGGTACTCAGATATTCCATACAGGTAGGTACTAATCTTTTCTGATATTTAGGCAGCAGCGGTGACCGCAGTGGTACAACTCTTCGGTCTCCTAATCAGTTGCCGTGCGCTGCGCGGGTTCAAATCCCGTCAGAAGAGAAATTTTTCTCTTGGCTATGGATGTTGGGATTAGGATGTAGACGGTCTCTGATTGTCGAACGCGGAGGTACCACCCGGCGGATCTAGTAGGCAGGGTCAGAATGTGTGCATGTTCCCACGTTTTCCCTTATAGAACCACGGTACCCATGGGTGTTTAGGTCTTAGGCCTTCGTGATAGTTGGAGTATAAAAAAAATAACCTGGACTGTAATGTGAGACAAATATTTTTCCACCTCCTTTCAACAAGCGTATCACAATCAAATAATAATTTACATGCATTTATTCCACTACTCTCTTAGAGAGCATTCCCGTTTCTCTTGATACTGCCATAGCAGCTGTGCAAATTTCATAGGAACAGTTTTTAATATTAGCAATCAGCGTACAGAAATAAAATTTAAAATTGAACTGCATATCTCATTAGTTCGACTTGTGTGATTCAAAAAGCGCTGCTCGAATCAGAAACAATTACACCAACTCAAAAAGACCGAATGAACAATACGCACACATATCACAAATGCCAACGTATTTACAAAAAAACGAAATATAACAATTGTAACAGAAAAAATCGCAGACTAGCACAATATTAAACGGCAAAATGTGCTCTTTCGCACTTTTCATTTAACACTTTTGAGCCTCCTATGTTGAATATAGTTAGCAAATATTCCCAAAGTTCTTGCATTTTTGGTAAAACAATATTTCCGTTATTAGGTATAGCCGAAACATTATTTATGTATTACTCGAGTTGAGCACACAAGTTTACCGATCTAGAACCGAAAACTGAGCAAAATGCGCGTTAAATACATATACATTCATACTCTTCGACTAAGTATTGTCTTTGAGTAGGTTTCTGAAATAATTAAGCTCTGGTAATCTTGGAAGGTGGAATTTAATATTTTTGTTCTTTCTTGACTGACCTTGAGACCCAAACAGAAATTATAAGGAGTCAACCTGCTTAATTCCGTGCCGTAATCGCTGAATGTGTGCACACTCACTTGCTGCAAAAATATCTATGCTTATTAATGTCAAGTGTTGCTGTTATGCGTTAATTGAATCATTTCAACTCCCGATCTACACAAAATACATTGGAAAACTAAATGGATTCCATCGCTTGGGAAGCCTTCGCATTCAGCAGCGCAATATATTTTGCAGGTTTCTTTGTTAGTGCCTTTGGCATACTATAAATCGATTTACAATGCAGAAACGCCTAGGGGTACGATGCCGATGCTACGCGACGTATCCATCTATTCTGTATGAGTAACGTCTATACAGTAATGCGCGAAAATGTAGAAAATTCAATTTTAACTCCATTAATACACCTAACAACCACAGAGATTGAATGTTAATCAAGCCCAAGGGCAGAGTTAAGTCCTGACTTTCATGTGGATTCACCTAGCTTTGCTTTATAGCTTAATAGTAGAAATATCTTAGAGACCTGCGGCCATCTTTCATATGCAAAATGAAGGATCTGCAGTTTTTACTACATTTCACGCTTCTAAGCTTGAATATTAATCAGGTCCTGCGAACGAATTTACGAGGTTACTTACTCTGAAACTCATATGGACCCACCTAGTTCCTGTTTTAGGGTCTAGTAGTTAACAGGGGCCGTGACGAGGAGGAGATACAAACCTGAGGGTGTGCGGAAATGCCTACGGGACACGATGCGGACATAATCTATTCATTCATTCTGTAGGAGGAAACTTGGTCGGTTGGGAGATATTTTTCACCTAAGGTGCATACAATAACGTGCAAACTGTAGGAACAGAACCTTTTATCACATAAAATGCATCTAAATAGGTGAAAAGTGTTGAGCAGTCATAGAAACAGAAATGATTCTGTCAACAATCTCATTTTTTTTAAAGGAGAAAAGTTAATACACACATATATCAAAAATACAGGCATTGGAAAATTCAAAAGCAGCGACATATTTCAAGAGCAGAAGTGTAGCATATGGAAAGAAGTGGAAGGTTAAAAAATTGTTAAGCGACTTTCTGGAAGCTTGTTACGTCAAGACGATAAACATTAGCCAGCTTTACAACAAGCCTCAAAATAAACTATTTCTCCCCAATACTTCCTCGACAATAGCTGCAAGGAGAAGCGAAGACATTCTTGAAACTCAATATAATTGACTGTGTAGGATCTGTTTGCTTACCATCTCTGTGACCATAACCTAACTGTCGTGACAAACTTGTGACTTGTGATGTGCGAAGAGGTGTCTCCTCGTGCCACCTCAGCAAAAAGAACGTCTCCGTTTTTGGTGTACAAGGTTCGACAGAGTAATTAGAAACAGGCTTTGTCAGATCTAGAATACAGCGACATCATATCTCAGCAGAGAAGTCAGCCGGGGAAAAAACCATTAATACCATCAGTCGGACAGCTCTAAACCGCATCATGTCTGTTTATTATTATAATTCTAACTACACTGTATGCCAGGCTTTCTATATGAGCCTTGTGCAATGAGGGAGTAGATGGCGTCTTAGCTTGGAACAGATATCTCACCTAATGCTTTGATACGAGTATTCATGACTCCATGAGTGACTGGCAGCCAAACAAAACCACAGATGTATATCTGAAGATTTTCTTACGTTTCGGCTACCTTGGTGACCTTTTTTAAAGTACACATCGAGGTAACGTTGGTAAATCCTCCATTCTACATGGTTTTATTTGGCGACAAGTGAAACATGGAGGGAGATTCACCAGCGAGACAACCACATGATAAGTTTCATGAGTTATATTGAGAGTAATTATATCACCTCGCACAGGCTTTGCTTTCTGTGGGTATTTTATATTTATTTGTATTTTATTTTCATTTCACCTGAAATATTTGTAATTTTTATGGAAAATAAATACATATTACATTGCCACGCAAAATTAACCGGACAAACAAATTTTTGTTCAAATTAAATTTTAAATAACTTTTTAACCTTTGCATCAATTTCGTAAATTTTTTCGTCAAGTTGTAGATAATTTCATTGTCATCATTATCGACTGTCGATCTTGCAAAAAAAAATTGAAAATGTTTGTTGTTATACAAGGTGAATTATGCCCTACATTTCTGAACAGCGTGTTTAAACGTTGGATTACTGAATAATGTGTCTTCGTATGAGAATTTTAAGCCTCAACTTTTCTCAACAGTTCTTTTTTTGATTCATGTCAATATCTCAATTATTCAAGAATATGTGCTGTTTTGAAGAAAATCAAGCGAATCATAGCCATAAACAAGAAATTATTTCAAGCAGGCTTTGCAGGGTAAGAAATTGTTTCAAGTAGGCTGTGTCTGTTAGCATTTTTATGGCATGTCAAAAAGATTCTTTTCAGGCAATACTCAACAAAAATGACACCTGAACAAGTAGTGCAAGCTGTAGCTTTACAAGATGATGGTCGTCCTATTCGGTATATCGCAGAAAGGCTTGCCGTTCCACGCAGTACGGTATGCGATGCGATACCAAGATTCAGAGAAACTGATTCTTACTCAAGAAGACCTGGGCAAGGAAGACAGAAAGCAAAACGCAGTTGAGATTGGTTTCTGAGACTTCGAGCTCTTTGGGAAAGGCCAGTTCCTGCTACAGCTTTGACTCGAAGATTGGATGATGTTCATGGTACTCTAGTTTCACCTGACACCGTATGCCGAAGGTTGAGAGAAGGAACCCTATCATCTTGTGTACCTGCTACAGGTCCTCTATTGGATGTAGGTCATCGCAGGCAGCGTTTAGTATTTTCTCGAACATATGCGGATTGGATATGGACGACTGGAAAAACGTTCTTTTTACAGACGAGTCTCGTTTTACGAGATATTCACCTGATGGTCGCCAAAGAGTGTGGAGAAGGCGTGGAGAACGCTGTGCTCAAAGTTGTTTCGCTCCTAGAGTGCAATGTGGTGATGAAGGAGTGATGGTATGAGGCGGTATTTCTTTGAAATCTAGCACAGATCTTGTTTCGGTACACCTTGCTGCCGACAGGTACATTAGAGAATGTTTGGAAGAACATGTGGTTCCTCATATGCCCTTTATAGGAGAAAATTTTCTCATAATACAAAATAATGCTCGGCCGCATATAGCCAGAATGACTAGGCAATACCTCAACGATGTTGGGATTAAAGTACTAGACTGGCTGCCAAGGAGTCCGGATCTCAACCCCAATGCGCACATGTGGGATACATTAGGAAGAAGGCTTAGGCGGAACTATGGAGAATTTCAAACGAGGCTGGGTTGAAACAGGCGCTGGTAAACGAGTGGGAGCAAATACCCCAAGACACAATAGCTGGTTTAATTGAGTCTATGCCAGAGAGGATGAGAGCTATTATTCAAGCCCGGGGAGGAAATACTCGTTTTTGATAACAAATTCTAATTAACAATGTCACTGTAATTTTTTAAGTTAAATTGTTTATGGTTATGATTCGCAGTTTTCTTACCAATGTTGTCACTGTAATTTTTCAAATTAAATTGCTTATGGCTATGATTGGCATGATTTTCTTCAAAACAGCATATATTCTTCAACAATTGAGATATTGACATGCATTAAAAAAGAACTGTTGAGAAACGACTTCATACGAAGACACATTATTCAGTAATTCAATGTTTCCACATCGTGTTCAGAAATTTAGGGCAAAATGCACCTTTTAGTTACACCCTGTATAACAGCAACCATGTTAAATGCAAGATCTGGCAGTCCATAATGATGACAATGAAATTACCTACAACTTGACGAAAAAATTAACGAAATTGATGCAAAGGTTATTAAGTTATTTTCAGTTATTGTTTGTCCGGTTAATTTTGCATTGCAGTGTATTATTATCATCAAATGTTCAATGATTCCTAGCAGACCTTGTTCACACATCACATTCGCATGTGGGTTTGGGTGTTCCTTATTGTGTGGTAACATCAATTCTTTCATCAGTGAGACAGAAGTTATCAAGTTCGTCTCCTCAAATCAACCGCGGAAATCAGCTGAGCACTTATGACTACTGCAAGTATCATTTCTAGAAAAATTCAGAAATCAAATGAGTTAAACACAGAGACTGATTCTGACTGATGTATAGTAAATCCACAGTTTAGATAATCTAGATACTCTAAACTGTCGTAGATCAATAAATCATTTACTTCGACGTTATCAATAGCAACTGATTTTATGTCCGTTGCTGTATCTGTATGATTTCGAACGTATCTTGGTGAATTTTCCTGCGATTTAGCACCTGAAAAATCTTACAAAAGATACCGCGGGGTATGCTATATTTTACCACGAGCGGTTTATGGACTGAAATATCATTATGGCCATTTGGCAAATATATGTACCTTTTCCGTTCTTCACCTTGCGGGATTTATTCGTATAGATCCAGATGATTCACAAGGAAGCATCATATCCACTACAACGTTAAATCATTTCGATTTTCATGATACAATGAGCCCACAATATACAAAAGTTTGAAATGGTGACAAGCTATATTACAATATATGTTGTTTGTACCAAAAACAGACTTCAAAACTTTACGATAGAGAAAATCGTAGAACTGTATAGAAACAATAATGTACAGGTCCTATTGAACCTTTGGAACCAAATTCTGTATGAATATCATTGGACTGGCACGCTTTTCTTATACTACTGGTAAATGCTATTCGAGATTACTATATTCTAGAGATGATGTTGTGTATGGTAGTTGCAGACTGAACGTGAGTTGCATCAATCTTGGGTGGCTAAGAGAATGTCTGTATCTACTACATGATGCAATTTGTTTGATCTAACAGAAAAGCAAAGATAATACTGATTTAAAAAAAAACTTTTTGGAAAAATATACCAATGTTCGGATTTTAAATTGAAGCAAAACAATCTTTCATACGCCTTTAAAACCGAATGAACTTAACAACAGAAAGATTTTCGAACTTGCTTCCAATCCGAGGATTTTGCAAATAACCTGTATAGCAATAATCGCCGGCGTGCAAGGAATAATGCTGGTATAAGAATACAGAAGAATATAAAATGCTTTCCAAAATATATTACAAGA